TATTGTATCTGTTATGCTGAGTTCAATTGATATCCCTGATAGGCTTGCTCTTTTCTGAGAGAAAACAGAGGAGCAATGGATCTGGGGGAGAGGCAGGTAGCAGGAGACCTGGGAGGAGTGGAGGGAGGGGGAGCTATGGTCAGGATATATTATATAAGACAAGAATATTTTTTTAAAAAAAGAACAGAAATACACAATATGAAAAAAATTCCCTAAACAAGAAACAGCAAATTGTCTTGCTATCAGCTAGGCGATGAGAAGCACTCACAGAGAGCTGCCCTGAGTGTGCAGCATGAGGTCCAGTTCCCTGCCACACATTATCTTCAGACAAAGGGCCTATAAAATTGGACTGTGACCTAATATGGACTAAATAAACAGGACTTTTTTCCTTGTCTGCAATACCTGTTGAACTAATTGTAATAAATCATGAATGGAGGTCCTGATGAAGTAAACCATGGTTGAACTAATTGTAATAAACCATGAATGGAGGTCCTGATAAAGTGAACCATGCTATTTCTAGATGCTGCATTCCCCAGACTGTGTACTGTGAATCAGAATATAAGTTTAGAGGTGGAGGGTAACATTGTAAAGGATGTAAATCATGGGTAATTCCATCTGATGTACAGAAGCACCTGAGTGAGTGAAAACCAGTGAGACATCTCTAGAAACCAGGGCACCCTACCATCTTTTGTGTATCTGCTAAATACTTGTGTAAAGGGTGTTGTCTAAAGCCTAGTGCTTTTAGGAAATAAAATAGCATGCTTTGGGTTTGGAGAGATGGCTCAGAGATTAAGAGCACTAACTGCTCTTCCAGAGGTCCTGAGTTCAAGTCCCAGCAACCACATGTTGGCTCACAACCACCTGTAATGAGATCTGGTGCCCTCCTCTGGCGTATAGGCAGAACTGTGTACACATAAATAAATAAATATTTTTAAAAATTGCATGTTTTGATGCAAAATCAGCAAGTTTACTGGAAGGAGTAGGAAAGAGGAACTAGGCCATTAGAGAAGTCTGCCCTGAAACCCCAGCTCTCTCCACTCTGTGCAAGCATAAAGTTCCACATGCAAATATGGTTTTGGGCAAACCAGATCACAAGAGCACACACTGGGTCACTGCAGGTACCACATCATTTTTAACTGAATTCACAGGCAAGTTCTGAGACCACATTCTAGAGGACCATTGGCCCCTCACCATTGTGTGGGCTCCCACTTCCCACTCAGCTGACTCCAGCAGGCGGGAAGGCAAAGCTCAGATCCTATTCCTTCTGAAGCTGCTCCTCTGAGCTCTCTGCTTCCCACTGTCTTTATAACTCACTCATGGGCACTCTCCACTCACTGACCCACTGGCCACATCCTGACACAGCTCTGGTCAGCAGCTGTGGGAGGAGGCTGTCTCTCTCTTCATGCCTCTCTTCCCTTGATCCCTGCACTGCTCAGCTGGAGCTACCCGGGTTCACTGCACTGTTGGGAACAGTTGGGAGAATTAATGGATCACAATATAGCAGAGGAACACTAGTTGCTAAAAAAATGGGATCATTTGGGTTCCTCCCGCAGACGTCTTCCAGCTCATACTCACATGCTCAACCTTCAGCTCTTCCAAACACTTCCCTTCTTGAAATCTCCTCTAGCTACTCCCATGTTCATACACATAACAAGCAAACAGCACATGCATGAACACACACACACACACACACACACACACACACACACACACACACCCCACACACACACACCCCACACTCCCATGCCTGGTCTAACCTATGCAAGGAAGCTCCTTTCAACATTATGAGCCTCTGAATGCCAGCCCACTATGAGCCAACACTACGCACAGGTGCTTCCTCACTCTACACAGGTGCCCTCCTCACCCTTCTGAATACCCATTTCCTCCATCAGGACCCTCTCCTCTCCTCTTTGCAGTTCTGAGTCCCCATAGGAAGTGACCTAATGAGTTGATACTCTCCTCACCATGCTAGAGCACAGACTCCCTACTATGACCATTCCATGGCATAGCTGCTTTCCTCACCTCTGAGGCTCTGACATCTCACACCAGACTGCTGCTTGGAGACTCTCTCCTGAATCCAGACACTTTCTCACCAGTATGCTGACATCCCCTCTGCTTGGGCTCCAGTTCTGCTGTCAGGCCAGCCTTCAGCATGGTCACCCTGGACCAGACCATTGCTGCCCCACACCTGACCCTTCCACAGATACCTGCCTTGCCCTCCCTACACCATTCTTTATTCAGTAAGTTACTAAGTAACTGAGGTATTGCAAGGAAGGAAACAAATATAACAGAATATGAAGTTCTGTATGATTATTGAACCTATTGAGTATTTCCATAGTGATAAATATGCCTACATACAATTCACTCCAATCACAGATGCTCAGGGTTTTTACCCTCTCAGTAAAATATATTTTTAAAGTTATCATATCTCACATACACTTCAATAAGTCATACACAATACTCAAGTGGCTTGCAACAACAAATATTTTTCTTTTGCGTATGTCATAAGTGTGTTCTAAGTCCTAAGTGTCCTATGGGTCATTGTAATTCTGTTCAGTTTCTTACTACTTTTATCATTTGGGAGTCAGGATCATAGAGAATAGCAACTTCTTGTAAATTGAGTGTGTAGTAGCCTCTTTTATTTAGAGAATCAGATTCATTCTCATTCTGTGGGCCAGTGAAATTCCCCTGAACAAACCAGCTAATTGGGGTTGAAAGCATATTCTATATAAAGGAAGATGGGTCAAAGGCATTGAAACGGTCCTTTTACAGAGGGAGTATGAAAGCACTGGGAACCAGCATAACATCTATACCTAATCCCTTTCCTGTTGACTCTGGAGATGTGTGTTATTGGGTTTCAAAAAGGAAAATTAGTCCCATCAGCAGAAAAGAGGTACCATGGCAACACAAGCATGAAATACTAAAACTTGTTGGAGAGATGGCTCAATTGTCATGAGCACTGGCTGCTGTTTCAAAAGTCCTGAGTTCAATTTCCAGCAACCACATGGTGGCTCACAACCATCTATAGTGGGATCTGATGCCATCTTCTGGCATAAAGTCATACATGCAGATCGAAAACTCATGTACATGAAATAAATAAAATACTCAAACTTGTGCTGTACTGATCTCTGATAGTGAAGTAAATTAGTGTCATATGGGTTAGTGTTGGGTGTCTGTCATGTACACCATGGGGTCTGTCTTGAAGCAGTGTGGGAGTGCCTGGGACAGTGATGGTGCACATTCTCCTGTTCACCAACATCTGCATTCATATTATTTTATATCTGATCTGTTGAAGAAAGACTTTGTCTAGACTTTTACCCATTTCATGGGAGGTTACCTCTCTAATTGTTTGGAATTCCTGGAGCTATTTGAAAGTCTGTTTTATCATGGTAGGCCATGAAGCTTTAGGCTGCTCAGTTCTTTCATAGTTCATGCTAACAAGACAATTCATGTAGGGAACTCATAATTTCAGAAACACTGACATTGTGATTAAAGAGTTGAGCCTTTGAGCCATGAGATGCCCACCCTAGCAGGGAAGTGATGCTGAAGGCTGAGTTCACTCTTTCATCAACCAAACACTCACACCTATATAATGAACCCTGGTAAAACTCTGAACACGAGAGCTCAGATGAGTGCCCCCTGGTTGGCTTATTCTGTATACTGACACTAATTAACATTCTGGGAAGGAGATGCATCCATGGAATCAATGGAAGTTTCCTTTATGGGACCCTCCCTGACCTCACCTGGTATGTCTTTCCCTTTAGTTCTGCTGTGTAGCTTTCTGCATAACAAAACTATAATCCTAGAAGAACAGAATCGTTAGTTCTGTGTGTCATTCTAGAAGCTCATAAATCTGCAGGTATCATGGGATCCTGGGACTCTGCAGACAGTTAAATTGAAGTAATGGCATCCTTGAGAACTCCTGAACTTGAAGCTTGAGTCTGAAATGAGGACAGTCTTGTGGAGGCATGTCCTGAACTTGTAGAATAATTTAGTTAGTAAATGAAATATTTTTGGCTATGGCTTACCAGAACAGCCATAAGAAACATTTTGAGGATGGCTGAGGAAATACAGGCAAGATCACACATCATATCAGAGAAGAATTGCTAAATTTTCTAAGAGTGATAATGGTATTGTTTTGTTGTGCAATGACAATTTCAGATGATAAATACTGAAATATTGCCTGAAGTGTTATGTATCAAACTAGTTCTCAAGTGCCCTATCAAATAACATGTGCATATATATACATACATACACATATATATCAAATTATCAAAATGTCAATAATCATTGCTATAAATTGTAGTTATATGAATATTGATGATACCAGTCAGTCAAATTCTGTTTCAAAATATTCATGATAAGAAGTTGAAAAGGCTCCCAAAGTGTTAAGCAGCATGCAGGCTTCCATAGGACATGGGGAATCTCCTCAATGTCCATCCACAGGACACAGGCTGTCCCTATTGCGGCAGGCACAAGGTGGGACACCAAGAATAACAGGTGGTGCTGGAAGAAAGCTGTCTATCATCTTCATAAACTTGATGTGGAAAAAGGTCACCTAGCCCAGTATCAGCCACCATTAGAGGCCCACATCATCTTCACAGCACCCACAGCACCTGACACACTAGCCATGGGGACCAAGTTCCTGAATGGGTCCTGGTAGTGCAGGTTTGGGGGACACGAGAAAATGCTGATGGAAGGGCACAAACTGCCAGAGAAAATGTGAGTAAACACTGAGGATCAAAGTGACAGTAGGTAACAATGTCACAATGTCTGTCTGAATTTGCTAAAAAAGATCTTAAATGTTCTACACAAAACAGACAACTAAGTTAGGTAATAGAGGCTGCTGTTAACCTGATTATGGCAACCATTGCCCGATGCATTTCCATATCAAGTCAAGACAATGTAATGTAAATATATATGATTTATTTGTCAATTATACATCAATAAATCCAAAGACAGAGGAACAAAGAGACAGATGGATAGAGGGTCCACACGATTCAATTCGGTCATCAAATAAGACTTTAGGAATCTAAGAAAGGACAGAGAACCTGGAGTGCTTCCACATATGCACAAAGGGATCCTGTAGAGTCTCTGGTATATGGGAAATTCTCATTATATAAAAGTAATGGATGAATAAATAAGTATATATGGGGACCAGTAATATAATATGTAAAACTTTTGGCTGCCTACGTAAATTTCTATGGACATCTCTTCCAAAAGAAGGTCTTTACAAGTGTCCATATAATGGTGGATAAATAGACAATCCATGTCCATGGAGAATGATTGATTCATAAGTAAATTTTCTTCATCTGACAAACTGACTTCTGTTTACCACTGCAAGGGACGTCATTCCAGCCCCAACTAGAATGTGGATGATTTATTATAACACATTGTTCGTTGTTACTGCTGGGTTCACCTGAGCGCCAGAACCTGGAAGGGAGAAAAGAGCATCAGGGTGTTTCCCACAGTGATGCTGGGAAAGAGAAAACAAGAATAAGCAAGATGAGGATGTGGTGGGAATTTGTGGAAAGCAGATTCAGGTGTGTACACACCACCTGTTCTCCACCACCCATGTCTGACATGTCCCTGGAAAACAAGGCCACCACACTCAATATTCTCTTAGCTTGTTACCTAACTGTTCTCCCGGAAGACATCCCAGAGGCTACTTTATTCTACTTCATCCCTAGGTTTTGGTACCCAGGGACTGCCATTTCATGTGCTTATTTATATATTGAAAAGGTCTCTCATTTTCATGCTGTAATAATTTTTTTTATTTCATTTTACAATAGTCTTATTTTAGAGACAGGAAAAATACTTAAAATAGTTAGATAATCTACTTATTTCTGTCATCTTGGACAAGTAATTTACAACCCAGGATTCCTACTTTTCTTCTCTGAAAATTAAGAATGAGAATAACATTACTACCTATATCTCACAACAGAAATCAGGATAGAATATGGGAACATACTAAGGTATTAGAGTTTTTAAATAATTACATAAATATGACACATAAAAATATGAAATTGAGGGCTTTTAATTTAAGAGAAATAATCAGTTATGATCTTAACACTAATTTTTATTATAGATATAAATAAAATCTGGAGAGATGGCTCAGACATTAAGAGTGCTTGCTGCTTTTCCAGAAAACATGACATTTCTGTTCCCAGCACCCGTATTGACACAATCATACCACCTGTGAGCTCAACTCCAAAGAATCCAACACCCACTTACGGGCTCCATGGGCACCCACATACACATGGCACACAGAGAGACATAGATATACACACTAATAAAAATGAAATAAATCCTATTGTTAAATATATAGATGAGAGACTGAAAATGTAATAAAACTCATCATGGTATAGCACCTTGGTTGGGTACCCTGGGTACTCCTCATCCTACACTCTTCAAACTCAAATTCTTCATCTCTCCTGGAGTATCAGTGACATGTGTCTCACAGGACTCCTTGATGAGGAAATGGAGATAACAGTAACTCCATCCCCAACAGTCACACCAGTTTCATAACCAACAGCTGGAACACCCTAAAATCTTCTCATGCTACAGGACCCAGGACTCCTCTAGGTAACTCTGGACTCACGTGGCACTTTCATTGTATGGTGTCTGATCAACCCATCGCCACTGTCGGTGACCTGAATCTGAAAGCCCAATATAATAAGCAGCTTCAGGATTCAGGATTTTGGTGATAAAATCCTAAGAGGAAAGAAAGATACAGCATTCAGCCTGGATGGAGTGATTCTTTTTCTGTTATAGAATTTTTATAAGATCTTTTAAAAGTTATTTTAACTACACAAAATTATAGGTCCAATATGATGATATATGCAAATATGTAATAATCAAATCCCATTTCATATCTCTAGGCCCTTATAGTTTTCAAATTTTAGATTAATACACCTTAATTATACATTTTAGAGGTACACTGTGATACTTTGACTGACTGATTTCTGGTCACACACAGATGAGAAGACAAAGAAAGGATCAAGGAATAGTAGAGCCACCCACACACCCAGGAGTGCCATCTTCTCCAGCTGACCAGGACACAAAGTCATCACTCAGAGGCCTGATTTCCATGACATTGGAAACAATCTCTGTCCATGATCATAATGAATTCTCATCTCAGACTCACTCCCCTCTTTTCTTCCCCAATACCATTCTTGAAAGTTGTGCATGAGAGAATTTAGCAGATGTAAGCATTCTCCATTCACAACCTCAGATATTTCATTTCTGATGGTTGGCTGTGACTCTCCTGATTTGATCCCCTTTCCCTAGTCAGCTCTGCGCCCTCCTCTCTTAGGCAGATGGTACTACAGGAAGCATTAGATTGCTGAAATCACAAACTACTCTTTCAAGCAGAAACATTTCACCCTTCTCTCCACCCTCAGATGTTGCATTTCTGTTGCCATGGTTCCTTGTGGGTTGTTCAGCTTCACTGAAGCAGGGACAAGGTGTAGAATGCCAAGGCTGAAGCAACCTTTCCAGCTTCCTGATGGAAAGCCTTCTGCCACATCAGCAACACCCATGTCAAGAAAACTCCCTCTTAGTAAAAAGAGGCAGAGAGCAGGCCAGGCCCAGGCCCCACTCTCTCCCAGGATGCACCTGCTCTTCCTGGCTGTGGATCACCATCAGATGAGCACCCATGCTGAAGCACTTCTCCTCACTCTCTTCCCAAGATGCTGAGTCAGTCGCAGTGAAGTAGCAGTGGGAACTAAATGGCTTCCAGTCCTTTGGGCAACAGCTCCAGACTTTGTCTTTGGGGGAAGAAGGAAATGTAAGTGTAATGTCATAAAGTCATTTAAATCTGCCTGATGTGGAGACCACATGGAAGCTGGGACTCCACACTTATCCAGATACAACAAGGAGACCCTCCTCATCAGATGCCAAGCAATCCCAGTCTACCTCTATCTACACTAACATCAGGGCTCCTTTATCCTACTGAGGTATTGTCAGGATAACATAGTGTCATGGACACCCAGACACCGAGGACATAATTCAAACTGTCTGGGTTTCTAAATAATAGTTTAGTTCTTGGTAACTCATTATACCAAGAACCAGAAAATTTCATAATTTTATATGTTGTATTTAAATAATACATATCAATAATCATGGCAGCAAAATTCTGACAATTTATAAGTAAATGATGATAAAATACTTTACAAAAATATTACAAATGTACTAGAAATAAATTTAAAATAGAATTCCTTAAGAAAATAAAAAATTAAAAACCCAATGTGTGTAAATACAACTTTTTTCATTTTTGAAAACATTATTTTAATTATTGCATAGTGTTTCATTACAACCATACATGAATATATTTTTAAAAGATCCCTTTTTTGTCAATTACTTAGGGCATTGCTTTTCTTTACACCTCTATTAAGAATAATAGCAACAGATCAACTTTGTCTACACTAGTTAATTGTGTCCCAGGGAAGAATTTTAGAGAATAAATTGCAGTATCAAAGGATCAAGTGTGGTGTAAATATAACTCTTTCTATGTGTAATAATGTATTTTTCCATTCTTATAATTGAAAAAAGTTGATAGAATAGTCTTTTTTAAATGCAGTGGTTATAGTAGAATGGAGGTGACAGAGAAATCAGGAGAAACAAAAATCACAGAAATTGAATTGATTAATAGAGACAAAACAGAAATAAACAAATAAATACAGTCTCCCATCATGTTCCTTAACTGCTTATATCAAATAAAGAGAGGTGTAAAACACATGAAACATAAAGCAAAGAATTGAGAAGTACATTGTGGCAGATACACGGAGTTATATTCACACACTCATGTATATCCCTATGTGCTTGTACAGATACAAAGAATGTCAGATATGAGAAAGCAATCACAGAACCGAAAGAGATAGAAGAATGAATGGCCAGAGCATGCAGTGTTCAGTGAAGAATAAGAAATTACATTTGCAGTGGTAAACGTAAACAAGGCTCAGACAACAAAGACTATTGTGCACCATTATGAAGATCTTGGATAGATATAGACAGATACATTAGTCTGTCTCTTGAGAAACCTAACCCAATATTCCACCATAGTGTAGGCTATATGTACCAACATCCTTTCAAAATTACAATGTGGAAAATGGATAAAAAAGATCAATTTTTACATTTAATTAAAATATAATTATATCATTTTCCCTCCAGTCCCTGCCGTGTTCCCTCCTCCCTCTCAAATTCATGGCCTATTTTTACTGTTCTAAGAGCTGCAGACAATTAATACCTGCTGAGAGAGGGAGAATTAATCTTCAGGGATGAGCCTCCTAACTGGTTATCCAATACCAAGTGGTGGGCCTTAAAGGTACACTTGTATCAGCCGAACACGGCATAGCAAGATGCAGTCAGACTAGGCATAATCCCTCATATCAAGCCTGGATGAGGCAACCCAGTAGGAGGAAAAAGGTCCCATGAGCAGAGGAGGGCTGCTCTTTTCTAAAGGGAAATGGAGGAGCAGTGGATGTGGAGGGTAGGGGAGGTGGAGGGGGCTGGGAGGAGGGGAGGACAGGAGGCTGCAGCTGGGATGTATTGTATGAAAGAAGAACAATATTTTTAAAAAGAAATAAAAGATTCAGATGATGAAAAAGAGGTACACTTTTAAGTGGCCTACCTTAAGTGGACCATCAGGTGATAATAACGGTCTGTAATAATTTGTATAGTTTAGACCTTGTATACTATATAATTAAACTAGCATTTCACACCTGTCATCTTCCTCTCCAAAAATAATTACTCAAATTTTAATATAGGAATATCCTGTAATATATCAGATCAGTCATCCTCAGAATTAATATTCAGATCATTTAAAACAAGTATCTTCTGAAAACTCATCCCAACCAAGAGAAAACTGAAGAGATGTGACAGCTAAATACAGTGTTGCCATCCCAGATGAGAGTCTAGTAATCGTGAACTTCATTCAGTGATGACGTCAGTAATCACTCGCTAGTTGTAGCAACCACATTTGCTTATAAAGATGTTTGTATAGGGGACAGTGTATGTATATGTGGGGTTAGAATGATATCTTTATATCATATGAAATCGTCTATAATTTTAAAATGTTCTCAAGGAGTCTATTAATACTTTAAGTAATTTGTATTCATGATACAGTGCTTCATCATTTTATTCAAATTATATATGTGTATATATGCATATATATACATATATTTTAAAGTATTCTTTATTCATTATGTATACAGTGTTCTGTCAGCATGTATACCTGCATGCCAGAAACGATACCACATTTCATTACAGATGGTTGTGAACCAAGATGTTGTTTCTTGGAATTGAACTCAAGACCGCTGAAAGAGCAACCAGTACTCTTAACCTCTGAGCGATCCCTACAGCCCGTGTGTGTGTGTGTGTGTGTGTGTGTGTGTGTGTGTGTGTGTGTTTGAGGTAAAAAACAGCAAGTGTGCAGAGATGATTCAGGAAGAAGCAGACACTAGAAAAATCTAATACAACAGAACCTTTCCACAAACAAGACTCGTGTAGATGAATGGAGGCATACATATCAGACTTTCTGGTGTGATATAGATGTACATGTGGACTCCACATCTCAGCATGGGCCACCTGGGAATCTATTAAAAATATCACACAACTCAGGCAGATATCCCCTATTCAAGTGCAGGCCACAGCAGCCAGAAAAACCAGTAGGCAAACTCAGGCACAGACTCAACTGCTGGACCAGAGGCCACTCGGCCACCAGAACTCCAGATAGACCTCCCGCCCCAGGACTTCCTCCACTCTCTTAGTGCGCCCCAGACACTACCCCCAATCATCCCTCCCCTAATGACAAGGTCCCAGCCCCCAATTCAGATGGAGAGCCCATGCTCAAAAAGAGGCCAGACAAGCTGCCAGAAGTCCAGTCCTCAGCTCGGGAGAAGAACCTCTGTTCAACCATAGACCACACAGAATAAAAGACCAATAGGAAAGAGAAACCAAGAAATAAAACACCCACCAAAGATAAACTTGATACCTAGACCTAAAATCACCCCAAACCCAGATGGCTGGGCTAGAGCAAGAATGCAATCAACAACAGCCATGGTGATATGTCACCACCAGGGCCCAGCTGTCCTACTACAGCAAGCCCCGAATATCCCAACACAGCCAAAGTACAAGAAAAAGACCTTAGAACCAACTTTATAGAGGTGATAGAGGGCCTTAAAAAGGAAAACTGAATGAACCCCTTAAAGAAATCAAGGAAAACACAAACAAAAAATTGGAGGAAATGAATAAAACCCATAAAGAAAGCCAAGAAAAAACAAACAGTTGAAGGAAATGAATAAAACTGATCAAGACCTGAAAATGGAAATAGAAGCAATAAAGAAAACACAAACTGAAGGAATTCTGGAAATGGAAAATCTAGGTAAGTGAACGGGAGCTACAGATGCAAACATAACCAAGAGAATACAAGAGAGGGAAGGGAGGATCTCAGGCATTCAAGATACAATAGAAGAAATAGGTACTTCAGCCAAAAAACATTAAATCTAAAAAATTTCTGACACAAAACAGCTAGGAAATCTTGGATTCTATAAAGAGATTAAACCTAAATATAATGGGAATATAGCAAGGAGAAGAATCTCAGCTCAAAGGCCCAGAAAATATTTTCAACAAAATCATACAAGAAAATTTTTCTAATCTGAAGAAGGAGATGCCTATAAAGGTACAAGAAGCATACAGAACACCAAATAAACTGAACCAGAAAAGAAAGTCCCCATACCACATAATAATGAAAACACTAAGCATATAGAACAAATAAAAATTATTAAAGACTGCAAGGGGAAAAGACCAATTAACATATAAAGGCATACCTATTAGAATTACACCTGATTTCTCAGTGGAATCTATAAAAGCCAGAAGGGCCTGGACAGATAAACTGCAGACTGAAAGAGACCATAGATGCCAGTACTTACTACAATAGCAAAACTTTCAATCAACATAGATGAAGATATGATATATCATGATAAATTCAAATTCAAATAATATCTATCCACAACTCCAGCCCTACAGAAGGTACTAGAAAGAAAACTCCAACCCAAGGATGTTAACAATGACTATGAAAACACAGGAAATAAATAATCCCACTCCAGCAAAACCAAAAGAAGGGAAGCACACACAGATACACACACCACAACCAACAAAAACAACAACAACAACAAAATAACAGGAATTAAAAATCATTGGTCATTGATATCTTTCAATATCAATAGACTCTATTTCCTAAGAAAAAACACACAGACTAAGAGAATGGAAGCAAAACCAGGATCCATCCTTCTGCTGCATACAAAAATATTCCTCAATATCAAAGATAAACATTACTTCAGAATAAAAGGTTGGAAAAAGATATTCCAAGCAAAGGAACCTAAGAAGCAGCCTGGAGTAAGCATTCTAATGTCTAACAAAATAGACTTCAAACCAAAATTAGTCAAAAGAGACTGGGAGGGGCACTTCATACTCGTCAAAGGGAAAATCCACCAAGATGACATTTCAATTCTTAACATCTATGCTCCAAATTCAAAGGCACCCAAGTTTGTAAAGGAAACACTACTAAAGCATACATCACATATCTACGAGGTTGACCCTATCAAAGACTCATAGTAATGGGTGATATGGAGCCTGAACTGGCCATCTCCTGTAACCAGGCAAGGCTTTCAGTGGTGGGACTGAGATTCCAACCCAGCTACAAAACCTTCAACCTACACTTTATTCTGCCTGCAAGATGTGCGGGGGGGAGAGGTGGCACAGAACTTGTGGGAATAGCCAACCAATGACTGGTCCAACTTGAGGCCCAGCCACAAGAGGGAGCCCATGCTGGACCCTGCCTGGATGGCCAGGAATCTGAAATGGGATGGCTCAGAGACCTAGGGCAGAGCTAAATATAAAAACAAAACAAACAAACTAAAGTCAATGAACTGATTTCTAACAACATTCCGCTATACTCATAGACTGGTGGCTCACTTATTAGTCATCAGAGAGGCTTCATCCAGAACTGATGGGAGCAAAGGCAGAGACCCACAACCAAACATTAGACAGAGCTTGGGGAACCCTGCAGAAGAGGGGGAAAGGATTTTAGGAGCCAAAGAGGTCGAGGATACCAGGCTGCATGTATGTTATGGTTGTTAGCTTGGTATTCTTGTGGGATTCCTAAGAGTGGGAGTGGGGGTGTCTCTGACTCTTACCTGCTCTTGAGATGTTTTTCTCCCACTGGGTTGCCTTGGTCAGCCTTGATATGAGGGTTTGTGCCTAGTCTTGTTATAACTTGCTGTGCTGTATTTGGTTGACATCCCTTTGGAGACCTGCTCTCTTATGAATGGAAACAGAGGAGGAGTGGATCTAGGGGAGAGAGGAGATGGGGAAGAGAATTGGGAGGAGTGAAGGGAGGGGAAACTGTGGCTGGGATGCAGTGTATGAGAGAAGAATAAACATAAAAGGAAGGAACAAAGGAAGGAATGAAGGAACAAAGGAAGGAACGAACGTAGGAAGGAAGGAATGAAGGAACGAAGTAAATAAAGTTTATTTGAAACCATTAAACTCTACAGCAAGAAAACAGACTCATAGGTGCTCTGATTCTTACCAGATGTGGGTGGATCGTCTTTTTTGCAGTTCAATTCTTTGTGAGTTATAACTTTGTGAGTTAAACTTATAGCTTTTTTTTCTTCAAGAAGTTGAGAGTATTTTTGAAAATAAACTGTAAAAAAAAAAACAGAAACAAAACCACTCATTTTCATGTAAATATTATGGCTTTGACTTTCTACTTACTGGTACAAAGATCTACCAAGTCCCAATTACATAAGTAGACAGAGCCTAAGATTCCCATCACCCCATAGTCAATGTAGTCCTCAGCCTCCTATTTTGAAACCAAAGATACTCCTAGGACTCAGGAAAGACCATGATTTGAAAGGCAGGACAGGCCCACTGTCATGACTCTAAAGGGAGTGAGTCATACCCTTCCATGTTAACATAAGATGAAAATGCTAACTCTTGGGGGAGATGAAGCAGATATAGATAATCATATTTAAGGATGTAAACTGCCTTGGCTTAGGGAGAAAAGGGAGTTAGCTAATTCTGAATAGCTCTAGGTTATTTTAGAATGTAAAATAGAAAAGAACTCAGCATGTATCTATGGGACACTGTTTTCTTACTTAAACTCTCCTCATTTCGACCAGCTTACTCCTCCACGTACACGCTCACTCTCTTCCAGTTTACAGCTGACTGGCTTCTCTCTAGAACTGAATTTCTTCACTTTCCTCCCAGAGTCTTGTCCTCCTTACCCCACCACTTTGGCTTCCTCCATTTCACTCACACCAGGTTTGAAATGGATCATCAAAAATACCCCAGGATAATTAGTTATCCATCTTGATATTGGACTCAACCCATTTCTCCTCTTCCCCAGCTCTTAAGACATTGCTCTGTCCTAGATTTGCATCAACCTTTTTTGCCGTCACTTCTTGTTGTTTTTTATAATCTCTTTTCCCTCCATCCATCCTTTAAAATGTAACACTTCCTACAGTCTTGTCATGATTCTTCCTCCTCATACAAAGTCTTCCTGAGTGGTGCCATGTATTGCTATGGTCTTGCCTGCTGCCTGTATGTGCGGGATTTTGTTCTCACTAAACACAAACATATTAGGTTCGACTCAGTATGCCCAAAACTGAAATCAACACCTGCCAACTTAAACCTATAACATATCCAAGATTGTCTATCTTTTTGAATAACTTCATGGTTGCTGAGTTTACATCATCAGAATATGAAAGTCACACTGTACTTTTTGGACCCCTTATTCCCTGGATCTCGATGTTCATCAGCATCCACTTCCTTGGTGTTGTGCTCTTTACCATTCAAAGTCACCTCCTCTCATGCTCTTCAGATACTTATCTCATTATCAGGTTAGAAATAGGCCTTCTCATTTCTCTTTTTGTCCTAGTGACTCTGTTTTCAGAATCCTACTAAAGCACTGTCTATAACCTAAATTCAGCTACACCAGTTCTCTATTTGAAATGTTGCAGTGGTTCTCCATGGCTGTGATGCCTTGCAAAAAAAGACAACAACATTTAACTTCAGTATCCACACACCATTTCAATGTGATTTTGAAATTTCCCTGGTTAAGAAAGAAAGAAAGAAAGAAAGAAAGAAAGAAAGAAAGAAAGAAAGAAAAGAAAGAAAGAAAGAAAGAAAGAAAGAAAAAGGAAGGAAGGAAGGAAGGAAGGAAGGAAGGAAGGAAGGAAGGAAGGAAAGAAGGAAGGAAGGAAGGAAGGAAGGAAGGAAGGAAGGAAGGAAGGAAGGAAGAAAAAGAAAAGAAAAACAGTGAAGTCTTCTGTGTGAGCTGCCTCCCAGATTCCTTTGGCTAAGAGAATGTGCAAAATCAACTCTGATCTACTATTAAGTTAAATTGTTTAAAAAATTTATATATTTATTATATATAGTGTTCTGTCTGCATGTATGCCTGCAGGCCAGAAGAGGGCACAAGATCTCATTGCAGATGATTGTGAGCCACCATATGGTTTCTGGGAGTTGAACTCAGGACCTCTGGAAGAGCATTCTGTTTCTTAACCTCTGAGCCATCTCTTCAGCCCTTGTGTTAAATATTTTGAGAAATCTGGCTGATGGTCACCCACAATCTTGGAAGTCTGCAAGCTGCTGTGTAAACAAGCCAGGGCATCCTAAGTAACTATATAAAGGTGGGTCATACTGTTAGTCATCCTAGCTGGCTTCCTCCTCTCAGAAGCTGAGGTTCCTGGACTGGTAACTGACCACATACACACATCTAAGTTCAACTAGGACCAGAGAAGCCACTCAGTGGAGATCAGCCTAAACTGACAAACCACAGAAGCATAAGATAAATAAGTCGTTGTCTTACCTCATTAAGTTTATACTGATTTATTAAGCAGAAAAATATAATTGATTAAAAAACAATATTTAGAAGAAAAAACTGAGTATTTTATAACAGGGCACAACACAAGCTCTGCATGCTGCCATGTCTGCCTAGGGATTGTCATTTCTTCTTCACCTAGAACTGTGTACTTCAGCCATTCATGCTTCTGTCTCTCACCCCTGTGACATTCTTGGTGCAGACAGTTCTAGACACAGCCTCTTCTAGGAAATCTGTGTCAGCACAAGACTTCCTGGACAATGTTGTAGACACTAGTCCATTTTTTCCTCATATTTTTAGACACAGATTTTTACATAGTCCAGTCTAGCTCCTCACTTCCTGTCTTCCTGTCTCAACATCCTGAGTAGCCACTGAACCTGGCTGGCACTGATTCGTTGACTTTCCTCTAAGTTTCTGGAGAAAAGAGTCCATGTTCTTCCTGGACTCTGTCTGTTAGACACACTGTAAGACATACAAAATGGCTACTGCTTGGTTCAAGTGAATGAGTAAAACACCCTAAATACATGAGTTTGCATGCATTTTAAAGTTTTCAGAAATTCTCGAAACTTTGATGAGCAGAAATCCACCCATTTGCTCAGTTGGCTTCTAGATTTCACATAATCCTGGGCAGGACAGAGCAATTAGAAATTAGCTAAAGAACACTTCTTGGATAATTTCTTCCTAAATCCTTCTTGTCCACAAGCTCATCCCAGGATGAAGGAGTCCTATACACACACAGCTTGTATACACATGTAGATTGACTTCTAAATGCCAATGAGAAAACAGATTTGATCTCCCAGTCTAACAAAGACAATGCTCCACAGAGTTCATCCACAAGTCCACATATGCTCATAAATGCACTTCAGTTTCTCTAATGAGATGGATTCCTTTTTCCCCAAGACAATAGCTAAATCCAAGGACAGTAAAAGACACAGTGTAACCCCTTGAATTATTTCTCCCCAAACAACATTTCTTCCCCATACTCTGTTAAATGCCAGTGCTGCAGCAGACCCTCTCTTCACCTAAGGCAGACATCGTCTGTTGATACATCGGGGATACGTACAGATAAAAGCAGCCAAGAATGTGATGGCCAACAGCAGGAAAAGTGCCATCAGTGATGTGAAGAGCAGCGAGGGGTGGCCAGGCTTACTTAGAGAAGAGGTGGGCTTCTCTTTGGGAGCTGGAAGGAGAGCACAGTCACCTCATGAGTGATAAGTTTCACCTTTGTTTCTGTTTTTCCTCCCTCCCTGTCTCCCTACTTCTCCATGTCACATAATCACTAATAGTGTGACCATTTGAAATAATGGAAAAATAACGTCCATTGTAAAAAACATTACCAAATATATAAAAGAACACACACTACGAAATAACTGGTATTAATATTTTGAGATCTGAAAATTAATTTGAATATATATATATATATTCACAAAAACACTTAGATCAAATCCTTTCAGGAAGTTCTTTTTTTGGTGGTGGGAGGTTTAATGGGCTAGGGACTCACTATGTAGACTAGGCTGGTCTGCAACTCATTATGTAGAGCAGGCTGATCTCAAATCCTTGGTGATCCTCCTGCCTCTGCCTCCAGAGTGCTGGAATTCCACCACACTGGTCCTTTCAGTAAATTTTAAAGGATGTACATATAGTATGTTTTCCCACATGACAACACAGCATAAGTACTGCCATCTGCCTGTGGCTTTCCTTTTACACTGCCTTGTAAGTACATTTTCACACCACCATGTTTTCTTGGTGTTCTTTACTGTGGTTGCAGCACTATATATTCTAATACCTTCCAGACTGTCTGAAAATTAAAGACGCATATACAATAAAAGGTAAATATTTCTAATCATAGTCCACTTTTTTAGCATATGGTCAGTCTGCTAGTCACTGACTCATGGCTGGAAACCGTTTGGTAGATGAAGATAAAATGTAGCACAGAGCACCTGCCTGCTGAGGGAGAGGCTCTGCTTTGATCTATACTATAAACGAAAAAGTTCCTTCAAGATAAGAGCTCCACATTCAGAAACAGTTTTCATAAAGTTACAATATACTGTCAAACACAGAGGGAAAAAGCCCAATAGTGAAAAGTATGATTTCATTTTATGTTCATTTTTATATAGCAGGAAATGCTATCTACTATACATGTATATATACAAGAATGCAAGATACAAGGTATAGTTTCTGTAAATGGCAAGAGCAAAAACCATGCCACGCAAGCTTTTCTTTCCCACAAAACTCTACAACCCTTAAAGTCACTCTACAAACAATTCAATCCCCTGCGACTTCAATGAAATCCCAGACATGAGCACTGAGAGGATTAGTAACAAACATCACCCAAAATTTATTAATGACTCTTCTTTTATCCTTCCCCCTACATTAAGTCCAGAATTTTTTTTACCTGTAGCACAATCTGAGTAGATGCTTGGGGAGTTGGATTCATTCTTGAAATTCACTTCTGCATAGATGATTTCTGAAGCCATATCAAGATGAGACCTGCCTCACTCAGAAAATGCACCCTGTCTCCTTCCTAAAACTCGTGGTATGTGAGAACCAAACACAGTGATAAATTGTCATATCACACAATTATATATGAGAAGAGAGATTTCCAGATGTAACATACCACATGAGAATGGGAAATCACAACACGGAATCACTCAGGCCACATACAGAGATGCAACATCTTAAAACAAGAAAATAAGAATTGTAGCGTTTGGACCTACTCAGCATGATATGCAAATACTATAAAGTGGGAACTCAAAGAGGGAAGGAAAGAAATAGGAAGGAGGGAGAAGAGGAACCATGCTGTTAGAGAACTCTGTCCTAAGACACTCTGCAGCAAACATAAATTCATGCGCTTCTGTATGCAAATGTGGTTTCAGACGAACCGGACAACGTGAGCAAACACTTAAGGCATAACAACATCCATTTTGACTGAACAACCAAGTTCTGACACCACATTTTAGAGGATCATTGGCCCCTCACCATTGTGTGGTCTCCCACTTCCCCCTCAGCTGCCTCCTGCAGGGGGAAGGCAAAGCTCAGATCCTGTTTCTTCTGAAGCTGCTCCTCTGAGCTCTCTGCTTCCCACTGTCTTTATAACTCACTCATGGGCACTCTCCACTCACTGGGCCACTGGCCACATCCTGACACAGCTCTGGTTAGCTGCTGTGGGAGGAGGCTGTCTCTCTCCTCATGCGTCTCCTCCCTTGATCCCTGCACTGCTCAGCTAGAGCCTTGTGGGTTCACAGCACTGTTGGGAACAGTTGGGACAATTAATGGATCACAATATACCAGAGGGAAACTTAAACTAGCTGCTAATAATGGGATCATCAGCCGGGCGGTGGTGGCGCATGCCTTTAATCCCAGCATCACGAGGCAGAGTTAGGTGGATGTCTGTGAGTTCGAGGCCAGCCTGGCCTACCTAGAAACACCCTGAGAGTTTTCAAACAACTCATAGATTATGAGGGAACTGCAGGGGCAACGAGCAGAGCTACACTCAATTACAGCATGAGGTCCCCAGGAAACAGTCCTTGGGGCTCTGCCTCTCCAAGGCTCACCTTTCTTGTTTACACTGACCAGTACGCAGTTTTCCATGGGTTCCAAAGCTGCTCGCTGTTCCTCTCATCTGGCCCCAACACCTCACTCTGTGTCCTCTATTTCCCAGCTGTTAATATTCATCAAAATTTTGCCCCCTTTCACTTAAAGCTCCCTTCTTTTATGTACATCACTAGCATGATCCTTGGATCAAAGCCCTAGTGCTGCTCCAACGGAGTCTGAATTAGTGTCCTACTTTCCACTTCCCTTCGTTTCCACACCGCTGTAAGAGCACACTTCTCTAAGTCCGTTTTAATTTTATCATGTCCTGCTTCAGATTCTTCAGGAGATCTCCATGACCGTGGCACATTGAAAAACTGGACACACTTCTCAACCTTCCCTATATGAATATCCATTTGGACTATGCCTTTGCAGTTCCCTACAAGACAACTGGTCTTTTTCTACATCACCTCATCTGAGCTGCCTTTAAGAGTTCTTTGGCCACTAAAATACACAAAGGCAAATGTGTGTGTGCTCCATGGTGGGCTTGGCTTACTGCCACCATCTGTCCTGGAACTCTGAAGTTGCCATGGGAAGCTGAGTTGAACTGATGCATGACTCCATGAGAATGAGTAAGTTCACCTAGGACCATGGGAATCTCCCAAGAGAGACCAGGCTCAGTGAAGCCACCAAGTAATATTAAATAAATAGTTCAAATTAACCTACTAAATTTAAGTTGGCTAATAATTCATCAACAGCTACTAAATAAACTACTAAATATCACATACCGTCTGATATGGTATGCACTGTTTTGTGATCTGAATCCAGTTTTGTCTGCCCCTACAGTTTCATACTTAGTTCTCCATGTAGCACTATACATGACAGTAATGTGTACTTGTATTTGCCTATATTTTCCATGCAACCACATGTCTAGAACATTGCTGGCACACACAGGTCTAGGTGTCATCTGCTCCAAGCTTTTCTTAGCCCCCCTGTGCTTACTCCTTACTTCTCACCTGCACAGCATTTCCCATGCAATTTTTTAAGCACTGGTTCACTTGAATATTCTCTAAATTGAAGTATATTTACTGGACTCTGAGACTGGGGACTGTAGATCTTTCTGGGCTCTCTACATGCTGCCTAATATATAGTAAATGGATATTACTAATTATTAAATAAATGAACGAATAAAAACATCTACATAAAATATAGTTTATGCTTTTTAGTTTTTGATGAACTTTGAAGGCCAATCTACAAAGAAATCCACTATTTTCTAAATTAGCTTCCAGGTCTCACACAATCTGGAGCAAAAAAAAAAAATAAATGATTAGAAGGAACTCCACTGAAGCACAGTCCCTGGAATAGCTCTGGCCATCTCTTCTCATCACCCTGCTTATTCCAAATTACAAATATCTGTGCATCCAATGGATCTGACCTCTAAATGCTGCTGATGAGAAAATACAGATTCATCTTCAGTACTAGAGCCTAACACAGCTGCCCCAGTATTTCACTCTGTGACACCAAAAACACACACATGCTTCTCTAGTGAGAATGAATGACTTTTACAGAAGAGTTATTCTGAACCAGAGGGAAATTCCCAATGTATCCAATTCCCCAGAAAGTGTCTGTCTCAGGTTTCTGCGTCACCATCTGTCTGATGGTTCCCTTTCCTTCTCTTGTTTACTTGTCCCATTATTATACTTACTGATCAGAGCAATGGAGAATAAGATTGTCAACAGCAGGAAACAGACTGTGAATGAGGTGAGGAGGACCTTGGGGAATCTGTAACAACTTTCATGAGTCATGGTCTTCTTTTGAGGAGCTGAAAGACAAATCAAATTCATGTCTTCAGCTCTGTTCCTATTTCCTCTTCTTTTCCTATTCTACTCTTTTTCTGCATGATAAACACTAATAATATGATGTTTGAAATAACAGGAAAATGCAAATAGGAAATAATCATGTTAATTATAGAAACATTACAATATATACAAAATCACTCATTCCTGATGTTAAGAATACTCATTGTCCTCAGGGAACCCCACAGATGAAGAGGCAGAAAGAGTGTAAGCACCTGAGGGGATGGGGACACCAGGAGATCAAAGCCCTCTGAATCAACTGAGTCAGGCACAGAGAAGTCACAGAGACTGAAGCAGCAAGCACAGGGCCAGCACAGGTCTACACCAGGTCCTATGCTTGGCTATTATAGCTTTCAGCTTAGTGTTAGTATGGCACTCCTGAGTGTGAGAACGGGTGGGTCTTTGACTCTTCTTCCTGCTCTTGGGGCTCTTTTCCTCCTGTTGGGTTGCCTTGCCCAGCTCCAATGTGATGATTTTTGTGTTATCTGATTATAGTTTATTTTGTCATATTTGGTTGTTATCTCTTAGATGTCTGTTCTTTTCTAATGAGACAGAAAGGGAATGGATCTGGAGTACAGGGTTAGTGGTGAGGAACTGGGAGGAGTAGAAAGAGGAGAAACTGTAATCAAAATACATTGTATGAGAAAAGAATCTACTTTCAATAAAAGAAAAAAAGAAAATAATATTCATGATAAAACAAATAAATAAGAAAAAATGTTGTTGGCCATCCTTCTCAAGCAGATTCAAGCCACCCTAAGGGCAGCCTGGGTCCTCAAGACCCAGGCTGGTGGGAAGATAACCACTGGCCCACCCAGCCCCTTATGGCACCAGGCAGGTGGGTCCCATTATGATGAGCAAGTATGTGGTGGAGAAATGAGAGTGAAAGAGAAGCAGAGTGTCTCAAGTGCTGTGGAAGAAGTGAACTCGAGGAGGAGTAGGCTAAGGTGGGAGGCCTTCTTGCTACCTGGGCCAGGGTGATTTCCGGGACGAGCTGCTGCTAAGAGCCATATCTGGGTTATAGACCTAACATGGCCAGGGTCTATATGGCCATCTTTGGCCCATGTTGCCACCAAAGTCCACAAAAATGTCTAGTGTCTGGAACTGCCATCAGTGGCCATGTAGTAGTTCAAGAGTCATACTGATTTTGGTGGCTAGTGTTGCCACCTGGGGCCATGGTGTTGACCAGGCCTGGACTGCTTCTTAGGGCCAAGTCTGGGTCCATGGCCCTACAACAGACATGGACTGAGTCATTGTCTGTGGCTTCTGTTACAACCGAAGACCATGTGATTGTGTGGAGTCTGATCGGCCACCGGGGTCCATGTTGGTGCCCAGGGGCCATGCTGCATCCAAGGCCATACAGGTCTAAGGGGCACATACTGCTATCTGGTGCCATGGTGACATCTGGGCCAGGGCTGCAGCTGGGGACCATGTCTGGGTCCATGGCCCTACTGTAGCCAGGATCTGTGTTGATATCTATGGTTCCTTTTTCCATGAGAGCCATGTGGATCCCCAGGGTCTGGGCTGCCACCTGGTGCTGTGTTGGTGTCTAAGGGCTGTGCTACTACTGAGGCCATACAGATGTGGGTGGCCTGCACCACTACCTGGGACCATATTGACATGCAGATCCCGGGGTGCTCCAGAAGACCATGTCTGGGTCCATGGTCCTACTGCAACCAGGGTCTGTGTTGAAGACTGTGGTCCATGTGGCCACCAGGGACAACTTGGAAGCCTGGGATCTGGGATGCAACCTGTGGCCTTAATGGAGTCTAGAGGCCATGCTGCATCCCGGGCCATATAGATCTAAGGGACATGTACTGCTATCTGGTGCCATGGTGAAGTCCAGGCCAGGGCTGCAGCTAGGGGCCATGTGTGGGTCCATAGCACTGCTGCAGCCAGGGTCAGTGTTAATGTTCATGGTTCCTTTTGCCATGAGAGCCATGCTGATTCACGGGGTCTGGGCTGTCACCTGGTACCATGTTGGTGTCTAATGCCTGCGCTACTGCTGAAGTCATGCAGATGTGGTTCCAGGTTGTCCTACTGATCAGACATAGCATCTCTCCAAAGGACCATGGGCCTGACTTGTTTCAGAGGGGCCCAAAAACTTTCTGCAGCCCAGAGGTAGATGTAACCATTAATAACTCCTTTCTTTCTAAAGGGATGGACTGTAATTTAAATGGAGTTGATGCTTTGGGGTGAGAAACTTCCCCAATAACCTCAGTAGGAGATGAAGCAAAGCGTGGAAAAAGGCCTCCATGTTATCAGGACTTGATGGACAGGCGTTAGGAGCAGAGGGAGCTGGAGCTGGAGCTGGAGGGACCAAAACCAGCACAGCGGGGAGGAAGGCATCAACTTTATCACAGAGACACTACATAATACATATTTAGGCTCTCTTTTGTTTGTTTGTTGTTAGTGTTAGTTCGGCTTTTTTGATCACTTTTATTTTTAATTTTAACGATGTCACTTATATCTATTACTGTTTTTATTTCTTTTTCAAAGCTGGAATGCATCACTAGGAATTTTTTTTTGGTCCCCTTACATCTAATTTTTCCTAAATTGTTCTTTCTAAGCAGGACCAAGTTCTGGAATCCAGAGATCCCTCTTCAGGGAAAGAAGGCTGAAGTTCGCTAATGAATCACTATCCAAATATAGTGATACCCAAGAACTCAAGAGGGGCGAGAAGGAAACAGGAAGGAACGGGCAAGAGGAACTAGGCCATTAGAGAAGTCTGCCCTGAGACCCGAGCTCTCTGCTCTCTGTGCAAGTGTAAAGTTCCACATGCAAATATGGTTCCGGGCAAACCAGACCACAAGAGCACACACTGAGTCACTGGAGGTACCACAACATTTTGACTGAACAGGCAAGTTCTGGCTCAACGTTCTAGAGGACCATTGGCCCCTCTCCATTGTGTGGTCTCCCACTTCCCCCTCACCTGCCTCCTGCAGGGGGAAGGCAAAGCTCACATCCTTTTTCTTCTGAAGCTGCTCCTCTGAGCTCTCTGCTTCCCACTGTCTTTATAACTCACTCATGGGCACTCTCCACTCACTGGGCCACTGGCCACATCCTGACACAGCTCTGGTTAGCAGCTGTGGGAGGAGGCTGTCTCTCTCCTCATGCCTCTCCTCCCTTGATCCCTGCACTGCTCAGCTGGAGCCTTGTGGGTTCACAGCACTGTTGGGAACAGTTGGGACAATTAATGGATCACAATATAGCAGAGGGGAAACTTAAACTTGTTACTAAAAGTGGCAACATTTGAGTTCCTCCCGCAGGCATCTTCCAGCTCATACCCACATGGTCAGCCTCCAACTCTTCCGAACACTTCCCTTCTTGGAATCTCCTCTAGCTACTCCCGTGTTTGTGGTGATATATTGTGTATCCTAATAAAATTTGTCTGAAGACCAGAGGGCAGAGCCAGCCACTAGATTAAACATAGAGGCCAGGCAGTGGTGGCACACACCTTTAATCTTAGCACTCAGGAGACAGAGATCCGTCTGGATTTCTGAGTTCAAAGCCACCCTGGACTACATGAGATGGATTCAGTCTAGGAGAGACACAGAGCCAGGCAGTGTTGGCACACACCTTTAATCCCAGCACTTGGGAAGCACACACACCTTTAATGGCTGGCAGAGAAATGTATCTAAGGCATGAGGAGACAGGAACTAAAGACTTTTTCAGGTGGAGCCTTTCCAGTGAGGACTCAGAGAATTTCAGTCAGAGGATATGTGGAGTTGGTGATGTGAGACATGGCAGTGGCTTGTTCTTTTGTCTCTCTGATCTTTCAGCATTTGCTCCAATATCTGGTACCATTTTCTTTTTTTTTTTTACTAATAAGACCATTTAAAGATTCGAGCAACACATGTTCCTACACATAACAGGCAAACAGCATGTGCATGAACACACACACACACCCACACACCCCACACACATACACGCTTTACCCATGCCTGGTCTACCCTATTCAAGGAAGCTCCTTTCAACATTATGAGCCTCTGAATCCCAGTCCACTATGAAGCCAACACTCTGCACGTGTGTATAGTGAGGAGTGCACGTGTGTATAGTGAGGAGTGCATGTGTGTATAGTGAGGAGTGCATGTGTGTATAGTGAGGAGTGCATGTGTGTATAGTGAGGAGTGCACCTGTGCAGAGTGTTGGCTTCATAGTGGACTGGGATTCAGAGGCTCATAATGTTGAAAGGAGCTTCCTTGAATAGGGTGCACTCCTCACTATACACAGGTGCACTCCTCACTATACACAGATGCACTCCTCACTATACACAGGTGCACTCCTCACTATACACAGGTGCACTCCTCACTATACACAGGTGCACTCCTCACTATACACACGTGCCCTCCTCACTATACACAGGTGCACTCCTCACTCTACACAGGTGAACTCCTCACTATACACAGGTGCACTCCTCACTATACACAGATGCACTCCTCACTATACACAGGTGCACTCCTCACTATACACAGGTGCACTCCTCACTATACACAGATGCCCTCCTCACTATACACACGTGCACTCCTCACTCTACACACGTGCACTCCTCACTATACACAGGTGCACTCCTCACTCTACACACGTGCACTCCTCACTTGTCCAATTGCCCAGTTCCTCCATCAGGACCCTCTCCTCTCCTATTTGCAGTTCTGACTCCCCACAGGAAGTGACCTAATGAGTTCATACTCTCCTCACCATGCTGGAGCCCAGACTCCCTACAAGTGACCCTTCCACAGCATAGCTGCCCTCCTCACCTCTCAGGCTCTGGCATCTCACACCAGACTGCTGCTTGGAGACTCTCTCCTGAATCCAGACACTTTCCCACCAGTATGCTGACATCTCCTCACTGCTTGGTCTCCAGTTCTGCTGTCAAGTCAGCCCTCAGCACGGTCACCTAGACCCTGGACCAGACCATTGCTGCCCCACACCTAATCCTTCCACAGACACCTGCCTTGCCCTCCCTACA